TTTGACTTACCTGAATCCACAGTTACATGACATACCGGGTTCCGAGTCTTCCTTCTTCTGGACTGCAGGGTGAGAAGGTTCATTTAAGGGTGCCCGTGTTGGTGCCCGGGAGACTTAGACACTTCCCATTGGCTGTCCACGGGGCCTAGTCCCCATAGGTTTCAGAAGACTCCGACAAAGTGATTAATGTCACGATGAGGGGCAGTAACAAGACGGCGACAGTGGATCTCCAGTCTTCACTTCTGAAAGAGGGGCTGCGAGAGGTCACATGACTGCGGACTTAGGGGGGTACAAATTATAATGAAGATTAGGAGCGAAGTGGCAAGTAAAGATGCCACAATTTCATTATTATTACTGTTAATATTTAAAGATCTAGGGTCAGATATACAGTATTTTTCATGTTAAGTGCATCAGTGCTATGTAATGTGTAAGTGTAACGCTTCCTGGTATTTACTAGCCCTTACAGAGAGATCAAGGTAATCCTCCTGACAACGTCTTCATCTTTTCTTTCCAGAAGGGTGGAGCCATCTTTGTTCAGGCATCATCCAGGGTCACCATCTACTACCTGGACTCAGATGCCGGCTCATAGTTGACACAATCATGTAAATCCTGGTCCCTGTGCAGTTCTTCACTGTTCTCAAATGTCTGACATAGAGCAGCACCAGATGCAGCCTCTCACCTTGCTACAAAGCTACTTTACATAGCCAAATCACTGTGGAGATTAAGGAAATGCTTCCTCCTCCTGCAGCAGACCGATGACATAATCTCATCCTAAGCAAAGTCACTGGACTGGACCTCAAGAACTGATTTTTAAAGATAAAAGGTATTTTTATCAATCTATAATGATACACTAATGCTACATTAACTAGCCACCCTGTTATATTGTATGTAGATGCTCAGTAGGCCTCCTGGCCAGTACTGTGATACTGTTATATGTATCTATCCCTTTTTGGGTTTTTATTCTACCACCTGGAGTAACAGGTGACCATGAAGTCACACAGTAACAGCAGTCATCATTACAATATTACTATGTGATAGAGGAGGGGAATGTGTTGCATGAAGCTCTTCAGCTCCATACGTTGCCCAGGTACAATGTCAGGTGGCATCACTTTGGCAACATGTACTAACGTCGTGGTAATGCAATGTCGTCACAAGGAGAGCTGTAAGCGTGTGTAGATAAACAGTGGGTAGCTACAGAGATGGTAGACAGGCTAGAGTAGGAGAGAACAAAGAGTGCAACAAATAGAAGATCTGGTAGATTAGAATGAAAGAGTGCCTGTCTCTGCCTTCTAATCCTGATGACAAAAGGTCTGCCATCATTGCGTATCTGTCTTTTTATGTATCTTTTTTTTGGCTTGCTGTGAGATAAGCTAACACCACAGTTTGCTGCCACCTCCCTCTCCTCCTCTGTGTACTTATTAACGTGTGTGCCTACCAAATGGAAGGCATATTCACGCTGCTGGCGGCAGAGGGTCACTTCTTATGATGGCTGCATCGCACTTGCATGTTTAACTGCCCTCATATGTCTATTGCACCTTAGGATGGGGAGTAGATATCATTAGCTAGTGGGTGGTTGGGATAATGGCCATTTGGGCAAATATATGACAACTGAGAATTACACTAGGGGGCGGTAATGAGGCCATCCACAGTGCTCATTACTACACACAGACAAGTTGTAAAACCTATGGATGATGGGTATAATCCTACTGTATTCTCATTAAAAGAAAAGGGAGTGGAGGGAGTAACTGGACACACATAAGCCACTTTTGTTGCCTAAGTAGCCACATACATAGTGGCAGGTTCCAGGATGGACATACGTTCATAGGATGGTTCCAGGATGGACATACGTGTTCTCACCTTTCATCTGTGCTCAATCCGTTGTTCACATCCACACTTGCAAAGAGGCTGAGGACGGTGGCAGGTTACAATCGTCTCTTAAACTTTTGAACAATTGTTTCTAACACTTTCCAATTTCCAGTATATGGATACAGCTCTGTACAAGACAAATTTTCAGTCATTACCTCCTTGCGTGGGTACCTTTTACCCTGATTGTATTTCAGATGATCTCATCTTCTACCAATTTATGCACTGTGGATACATTTTCAGAGCATCAGTAATCTCTCCTTTAACTTTGCGCTGTCATATCCATTGAATGTTGAGAATGTACCGACGTGAGTGTAACAGATGATGAGAAGCCAGGAGTTTGCGAGGCACACGAAATGCAGGTTTTTGCACTGATTCCAGAGGAGGGGGTCACCATCCAAGCCCCTCCTTACGCACCTCCCCATCACATAAGTAGTTGTGGAGAGTCTGATGTGCTGATATCAGAGCCAGGAGGACCTGCAAGTGATTGTGAAGAGTTGTCATCACTGTCTGAACCCACAAAAGAGGACGTGGGGTCTTCAGCTACACCTGGACAGCATCGTTTGCACAACAGGTAACTGAATTCAAATACTATAATTCATTTCGGGACAGTGCGTAGAACATCCGCAGAATAGGTAACTGGATAAAAGACAATATCATTTCTTTCAGGACAGTCCATAGAACATCTGTAGAATAATAGCTGGATACAAAACGCTGTTATACCTTTCAGGACAGTCCATAGAACATCCACAGAATAGGTAACTGGATAAAAGACAATATTATTTCTTTTGAGGACAGTCCATAGAACATCTGTAGAATAAAAACTAGATACAAAACACTATTATTCCTTTCAGGACAGTCCATAGAACATCCGTAGAATAAGTAACTGGATAGAAGACACTATAATTCCTTTCAGGACAGTCCGTAGAACATCCGCAGAATAGATACCTGGATACAAAACACTATAATTCCTTTCAGGACAGTCCGTAGAACATCCGCAGAATAGATACCTGGATACAAAACACTATTATTCTTTTCAGGACAGTCCATAGAACATCCGTAGAATAAGTAACTGGATACAAAACACTATTATTCCTATCAGGACAGTCCGTAGAACATCCACAGAATAGATACCTGGATACAAAACACTATTATTCCTTTCAGGACAGTCCGTAGAACATCCGCAGAATAGATACCTGGATACAAAACACTATTATTCTTTTCAGGACAGTCCATAGAACATCCGCAGAATAAGTAACTGGATAGAAGACACTATAATTCCTTTCAGGACAGTCCGTCGAACATCCGCAGAATAGATTCCTGGATACAAAACACTATTATTCCTTTCAGGACAGTCCGTCGAACATCCGCAGAATAGATTCCTGGATACAAAACACTATTATTCCTTTCAGGACAGTCCGTCGAACATCCGCAGAATAGATTCCTGGATACAAAACACTATTATTCCTTTCAGGACAGTCCGTCGAACATCCGCAGAATAGATTCCTGGATACAAAACACTATTATTCCTTTCAGGACAGTCCGTCGAACATCCGCAGAATAGATTCCTGGATACAAAACACTATTATTCCTTTCAGGACAGTCCGTCGAACATCCGCAGAATAGATTCCTGGATACAAAACACTATTATTCCTTTCAGGACAGTCCGTCGAACATCCGCAGAATAGATTCCTGGATACAAAACACTATTATTCCTTTCAGGACAGTCCGTCGAACATCCGCAGAATAGATTCCTGGATACAAAACACTATTATTCCTTTCAGGACAGTCCGTCGAACATCCGCAGAATAGATTCCTGGATACAAAACACTATTATTCCTTTCAGGACAGTCCGTCGAACATCCGCAGAATAGATTCCTGGATACAAAACACTATTATTCCTTTCAGGACAGTCCGTCGAACATCCGCAGAATAGATTCCTGGATACAAAACACTATTATTCCTTTCAGGACAGTCCGTCGAACATCCGCAGAATAGATTCCTGGATACAAAACACTATTATTCCTTTCAGGACAGTCCGTCGAACATCCGCAGAATAGATTCCTGGATACAAAACACTATTATTCCTTTCAGGACAGTCCGTCGAACATCCGCAGAATAGATTCCTGGATACAAAACACTATTATTCCTTTCAGGACAGTCCGTCGAACATCCGCAGAATAGATTCCTGGATACAAAACACTATTATTCCTTTCAGGACAGTCCGTCGAACATCCGCAGAATAGATTCCTGGATACAAAACACTATTATTCCTATCAGGACAGTCCGTAGAACATCCGCAGAATAGGTAGCTGGATAAAAGACACTATCATGCCTTTCAGGACACGGCTTAAGCACCAGATGACATTTTAAGGTCCTATTACCCCTTAAAATGTATCCTATATTATAGTGTCCCAAAAGAAGTCCTGCAATGTTTGTGGCCCCCAGATTTTTAGAACTGATGATATTTGAGCAGAGCTCTACAAGGAAACAAACTAAAACTGGTCCTAGACAACAGAACACCAACACACCGCCGCCGCTTAAAAGTGGACATTTCCTCTAAGTAACCGTCCTGCGTCTATGTCTGTCCTTGACTAAGTGTCTTTTGGATTTGCATGCACAGGCATTTAAAAGATCATTCCTTTATAGTGAGGAAAAGAGCAATTCTTCAACAGTTGTAGAAATTTCCAGGCATATCTGCACTCTCTCTAGGGGACACGGTAGTGTTTAGATGTATTTAAGCGATCCTTTTCATTAGCAATGCACCGGGCAGTCGCAAAGCCTGCCACTTTTCCATATAATTTCTATTCAGTTACCATTATTAAAATCAATTTGCAATTACAATTCAAAAAACAGAGAATGCCCGGCACACCATCGCGTACATTAATGTCACATTGTGTCGCCGCCCAACAAACTTACAGCTGTATGTCATACACCACCGCAGCATCAGATTCCACAATTAGCAGTCCCGTAATAACACTAAAGTTCAGCGTATAACGTGCAGATCCGTTGAACCTTGTAATTGCATCACACGTTGCTTCTCCACAATACCACAATACCAGCCACAGCTCCCTGTTCAAGGCTAAATACTAATTGTCTGCTTCCGTGTTTAAGGCTTGGACCCTTTCAAACAAAAGGAAAGTGGATTTCGGAAACAAAAGGAGCGTCTGAGGACTGTAGATCAGCTGGAAAGAAGCCTAAAAGCAGAAGAGGATTGCGCAGAATACCTATCACAAAGGTAATCGGCTTGCAAATGAATTTGAATAGCAGTGTACAAGACGAACGTGTTACTAATAGCAACCAGTCAGGTTTTACCTTTTTTTTTTTTATTAATGGAAACATTATACACCTTGGTCCAGATTAAATGAATCAGCCCCGATCAAACAAAACCATTGCTGATCATATTCCAGTTTTAGAATCTTAAAGGGTTATTAAACCCTCGTGTGTTTTTGCATATATCACCTGCTAGCAAGCACTAGATATATGGAAAACGATTCAAAAAACATCTGAAAATTTCTCGGGCGGCCGCAAAGGATCTTGGGGCGGGCGCATGCGCAGTTCAGATGTTCGGCCGGGAGACGAGGAGAGACACAGGGTAGGTCTATGGAGCAGCGTGCACCCGCACAGAAACCGTGGGACATCAGAGAAGAGGAGGACAGAGGAGTCGGCGCTGGATCGGAGACCCGCACCAGCGCTGGAGGGACAGCTAAAAACTACAAGAAAGAAGAAGATGATCGGATTGAGAGGCGTCATTTAAGGTAAGTCCTTACATTAGCTGTGTGTGTGTGTGCCGTCCCAGTTGCTTGTGCACTTGTGGCTCCACTAAGCTTGCCCGTGTTAGATTATAGTGTATTCGTATATATTTTGTCTAATAGAAACTTGGTAGCTAAAAGAAGAACTCCAAGAATTTCAAAAAACCTTCCCTTGCAGTGAGGGGGTAGCTCAAGTAGGTGCTCATTTTGTCTAGGGGGCTCAAATACAGCTGATATACTCACCTGATCCTTGGTCCTTCCAGGCTGCTGGACCAGTCCCCCCAGCCTCTTCTGCACTGGGCTCCGGCTGTCGTCATCACGATCCCTTGACTTGCATTAGACATGAGGGTGCCGAGGGACATCCCATAGCTGGCGCATACCCCTTTTCCCTTTTGATTTGGGGCCTCAAAATCAAGCAGAAATACTCACCTGATACTTGGTCCTGTGGTGGTCAGAACTCGCCTCCCCCCCGGCTATGGAATGTCCATGGACATCCTCGTATCTAATTCAAGTCAATGGATCTGCATAAGACGTGATGATGTCAGTGGTCCTTAGACCACCAGGAGATAGCAGGCTGCCTGGACTAGTCTAGCAGCCTGGAGGGAGCCGGCAGGACCAAGGATCAGGTAAGTAACACAGCTTTATTTGAGTCCCCTAGACAAAACAAGTACTGCACAGGTACGTTTATTTTTTCTTTTCCTGCAGTTCTTCTTAATGTAGACCTGTTCTGTCAGTTAATGCTGCAAGCACTATTTTGATCGCGCCGTACCGGACCGCAGGCATCATGTGCCTTGCGATCCCTTGCGGCCGATCGCATTGTGGCCGGAGGGCCTGGCTACGGTGCCATTCACTTCAATGGACCGCCACGCCCCCTCCTGCCCCACAAAAAAGTGAGCCGGCCGCAATGCGAGGGAGTGCGTTCTGGCCAGAATCGGGCTGGAACGCACTGCATCTGGTGTGAACGAGCCCTTAATCTTTGGAAATCAGACATTTACAGGTAGCTGAGACACTGTGCTTTAGCTGACTAAATGTCGTTAATCAATTTTAACGTTGCAAGTTTAGGAGTCACCATCCTGCCTTGTAAGTCACTGACAAGTAGGGCAGAAGATCAGACTTTTCAGTGGCCCTATGCCTGCCCCAAGCCGCTGACACAGTAGGTTGTAATGTCAAAATCAGGATGACAGCTACATAGCTCACCCCTTTAAAAACCAGCAATGGGCAATGGTAGCGCTTAGATTTCTTTTATCCTGACCAGTTCCAGAGTCACAAGCTGGGCTATAAGTACCATGGACAGCTCCAGACTCAGTCATAGTCTGGTGATCTATAAACGAGGAGTGTAGAGTTATCACACACAACTTTTGGGAACCTGCAGAGCACCACACAGCCCACCCAGCCCACCCTGCTACCCAAATACAGTTTTCAACAATGTCCAGTCTAAAATACTAATACACGAGACGTTTTACAATGAAAACCTTTAGTGGACAGCTGTGTAAATGATGTGATGATGAGGTTCCTTGTTCACATTTCAAATCTGAATGGTTGCTATTATCACCATCTCCACTGATGCGTCACTGTGTGTTTGTGGATCCCGGGGACTTCAATAATATGTCATTGATGTTTTGTAATAAAAGGGGTGTATGGCAGCAGAGCGACGGCATTCAAAGTGAGGTAACACTTATCACCAGATGTAATCTGTACAGTGAAAGGGGGTTTCTGGTTATTACACTTCCCACACTATGTTTGTTGCTATTTGCCTTTCCAAATAAGAGTAGTTTGGGATGTTATACAGTTTTGCAATTACAGGGTTAGTCCTCCCAAAACTAATATTTGAGTTATGGGTGCAGAATATTAGACTGAATCGCCCATTGAAGTATTATTTGTCTTCAGGAATGCAGCGACAAGATCTTTTTCCCCTTCTTCCCTTCCGCCGTGGGCTCCCTGGCCTCCAAGAAGGAGTTATAAGGACCACAGGGATGGCAGGAGCCCCTCATAATGTGCATATCAGTTGTACAGACCTGGAAATCAGCACAGGGATGGTGGGAGCTCCTCATAATGTGCATATCAGGTGTACAGACCAAGGAACTCAGCACAGGGATGGTGGGAGCCCCTCATAATGGGCACAGCAGGTGTACAGACCCGGGAACTCAGCACAGGGCTCTTACCAAGTGAACTGTCAGGTGGCTTAACTCTATAGTATCTATGAAGACTAAATATCTCTTTTGGTGGGCTGACCCTTTAATGTTCCTTTGTATTATGTGTTTCCCTTACATTTATCAGCATTTCATGGAATACATGTACATTTTAGCAATGTATTCATTACAGAGTGAGTGTTCTGCCACATTTACATAGTTTATACACAACATGGAATAGCAGACATTCCCCTTTTAATTAATCAGATTTCATTGCATTTAGTCAGGATAGGATAAGCACTGAACAAGGTTTTAAATCTTGTGAATGAGATAGCAGTCGCTGGAAAAAAGGGGATCTGATCTTTGTAAAGTAAATGTGTTTAATAAAAAGGGAAAAATAATTACCTGACTATGTACGAAGAATAACTCACTTGCGTTCTCGCTGAGGACTTGAATCTGCTGTACAATGGCCAGTTGTGTCCTTCACATACACGATGCTGCGCTTTACAACATACTGCATGTCATGTCTCTATAGAAACTGTTTGTTTTTTTTGTGGTCAGATTGTTTGTGAATGCTAAAAACCCCATTTAATCTATTTACATATTGATTAAACTATGTACAGCAGCATGAAAACTGAGATGAAAGGGAAGCGGTATACTGCACTCTGAACCTTTCAGGATTCTGTTATTTTGCACAGTGTATTTTGCAGTCAGTCTAACTGGAAGCATATGCTTGCAGGAGAAAAAGCAGAGGCATACTGTACATTCATCAGTACACTAACGCAGGTCCTGGAATGGGATGCATTGTTTAGTGTAGGCAGCAGGCAGGTGTAGGACCTGGATTTAATGTCTGCCAGGAGTGCATGGACCTCAAGAGCAGTTTGAAACAATCACAGATCTTATATTTTCACATATATATGTTTTTAAGGCTGTGTTTTAATCTAGTTAAGCTTTAACAAATGAATAGAGCTTTCGGAGTACAGACTAGTATACATCTCTGTCTTCTTTTAGTTTGCTTTGCGAATGCCATTCATACAGCATTGTCATCACTATATGGAGCTGAGGAGCATAGGAAATTGCTCTGCTCCTCACCACCATCTATTGGTGGTAGTGTCGTGCAAACGGCATTCACCCAGCTATACGCTGGGCAGAAGATTTATATAGCAGCTCCCTAGTGTCCCTTTAGCAGACTGACCTAGTGTGCAGTGTTTTGGGGTCAGACAGTGGACAGGCCAACACCTGTCAAACCTGAGGTGACCACTGAGCTTAAGGTTAAATTGTTAGGCTCAGAAAATCTAAGCAAAGCAAGAAAAGGAAGCAAATAGAAATCTTTCCCAAAGAAGCTTGCACAAATAATGAATTTAAATCTGTATATTCGGGACTGTTTCTCTTTAAGGCCCAACCAGATGTAGAAACTGAAACTTGTAATGACGTGCATGGCACAGTGTCTGAGAGGACAGGGAGATGCGAGTTATTAACTTCATTTAAAGCGATTTTTCACCCCATTACAATTCCCAGAAGAGAGCGACTTAATGACCTGGATCTTCATTCAGTCACATAAAGCATGAATAACGAGCTAACGGAATAAAAAAAAAAATAATGGTAAAATGTAGAAACAATATGAGACAGACCACCAGTAGCCAAAATGTAACCGTGAATTAGAGACTTCAAATGTTTTGTTTGTGTAATGCTATCTCCTGGATCTCATCAGCCAGAAACAGATAACCTTTGTGCTATGGACACTGTGGATCTCACCTTTTATAGGCTGTGCATTTAAAATGGCGCTAGGTCTAGAGGTGGCTATATGTGTGTATGTATATATATATATATATATATACATATAC